GGTTTTGTGATATCACTCCTGCTCAGCTCTCCCAAAGCTTTCTTTGCAGCTTGGTTTCATTCAATGTCCTAAAAATTTGATATAATGGAAGGTAAGACTCATTAGCTTTGCTAATGTGCCATTTACTCATCTCTCTAAAATAATGTTATGGGGACATGATGCTCCTTTTCCTCTTCATTTCTGTAAGAACCACTCCCAAATTCTATTCTTTATTTCTAAGTTTGCATCATGTGGGTCCCTGGCCAACTAGACCTATAGGCCTTTCTAACCCTGCCATTATTTCTTCACATTTATTTGCCTGAGACTGAAATTGTTTTAAGGGCATAGCCAGCATCTCCGCTCAGTAGACAAGCCATGGGGATTTTCTAGCTAACATCTCTAGCCTTAATACTTGTATTAATGTTTTGAAATGTCTTCCCTGATTTGGAAGTTCAGATACATGTATTTTTCGAGTGTGACTAGGTCTCTGAAAGGCAAGTAGTGAGTCCTGTTTAATTTTAGAGCTCAGTTCTCGCACAGGAATACCTTGTCTTATTGCGCTTTACTTTATTGCGTTTCACGGACGCTGCGTTATTTACAAACTGAAGGTTTGCGGGAACCCTGCCTCGAGCAGGTGAATCACCGTGCCACTTTCTGAACGGCATTTGCTCGCTCTGTGTCACACTTGGGTAATTCTTGTGATATTGCAAACTTTTTCATTACTGTTGTTACATGTTCAGTGATCTTTGATGTTATTGCCATGACTCACCAAAGGCTTAGATGATTGGTATTCTTTAGCAATAAAATATTTTTAAATCTTATATTATCAAATTTTTAAGCACTGCTTTTAAAAAAAAAACACACATAATGCTATTGCACACTTGATAGACTGCAGTATAGTGTAAACTTAACTTTTCTATGTCCTGGGAAACCAAAAAATTCATGTGGCTTGCTTTACTGTGCTGTTTGCTTTGTTGCAGTGGTCTGGAACTGAACCCGCAGCATCTCTGACTTATGCCTATATAGATGTGCTAGGGAAAGGTTCACCTTATTGAAAGTTGCCAGTACGGTTGTTCCTTGGTATCCTTTGGGGGTTGGTCCCAGGACCCTCTTGGATATCAAAATCCACCGATGCTCAAGTCCCTTATATAAAATGGACTTGCATATAACTTAGGCACATCCTCTTAAATACTTTAAATCATTGCTAGATTACTTAAAGTGTCTAATACTATGTAAATAGTTCCAGATACATGGCAAATTCAACTTTTGTGTTTTGAAACTTTCTGGGGAAAAAAAAATTTTTTTATTTCTTTTTGTGGTTAGTTAAATCCATAGATGCAGAACTGGCAGTCATACAGAAGTTCAACTGTATCTTTCACTATTAAAACTTTGGTAAAGTGAATAGCGCGTCTACTGAGTTCTAAGATGTTTATCTCCCCTCTTGTTTAAATCAGAATGCATCAGCCAGTCAGGGGTCCAGGTAGTGTGCCTGACTCCCTCCCCATTATTATAAAATAGATGATGACTTAGAATTAAGTACGTTTGCTTAATGGCTGCTATGGATCAAGAACTGTTTACAAGGATTCTTGTAAATGAGCCCTTTTTACAAGGATTCACTGATTTAATTCTCAGAGCAGCTTCATGAGGTGGAAGGCAGTATTATTTCATTGTACAGATAAGGAAACTGAGGCTCAGCTAGGTGTGTAATTTTCCCAAGTTATTAGTGGAGTTAGGGTTGGAAGTCCACATGAGCTCTTTATTCTCACTGATACTTGTGACTTTGAGCTTGGTTGCTCAGTGGTTGGGAGGATACTCCTTGCCCTCGGGTCTGTACAGAACCAACTACAGATGCAGTGTCCCTGGATGCCCAGAGTCAGACATAAGAGGCAACATCCTTAGCAGGCCCGCCCCCTCCATCCCACAGTGTGGAATCTGTGTGTGATCTATGTTTTCTTTTTCTAAAACTGGGATGGAGCTCAGAACAGCAAATATTTAATCAGGGCAAATTCCCGTTACTAAATCCTGCCAGCCTGTTCTACTCGGAGGTTCTTTACCTAAAAATATTCACCACATGCTGAAGGCTAGACGACTTGAGTCACCCACAGAGCATAAGGCAGGTCTTAGTATTTAGAGCAGGGGATTGTTTGCCTACTTTTATTGTGGATGAGATATGCAGTGCCACATGTTCACCCTTTGATGAGCCTAAGGGCCTCTGGCGGTAAGTAAGGGTTTGGGGGAGGGGAGTTTGCGGGGGATGACAGGGTAGGTGCTCATGTCTGCTGGCAGGAGCATTCTTGAACTGATCTGAGAAGAGAGAATTGGGTGTGGGTAGGGAGGTGGAGAAGAGCCTGCCTGGGAAAGATGGACTGGGTAGGTTAAAGGAACGCTGACAGGCATGTGTTATGGCAGGAGTGTGGAGGCGCTGTGCAAAAAGGATTAGCTTTGCTGACAGAGAGAACAGAGAAGGTGGGGGAAGAGTTGAATGGATATTATAGAGCAGTAAATCGCATATGAATAAAACAAATAAGGTGGAGGCATGGTGCCTCCTTTCACAGATTTAAAGCAACATTACCTCCTTATTCCCAGTACCACTCATAGGGTGCAGCTTTTGTTTCCTGCTATAGGCTCTGAAACATTCACTTGTATGGGGTCCCCCATGACTTCAACAGATGAAGATTTTAACCATGTGAATTTGCTCACTCACTGTGAAACAGCTGAAAATTCAGACTCCTTCAGAAAGCCCTTGCTAAGGTCTCTCATGACCTGGTTGGGGTGCATCCTGCATCTTAATCACTGTTTTCAAGCCGTTTACAGACCCACTTTCTCACTGGAATGCTCCAGGGTGCTTCCAACCCTGTATGTTAAAAACAAACTCCCAGAGCTCTTTTCAGTTCCTAGGGCTTCCCTGGTGGCTTAGAGGGTAAAGCGTCCGCCTGCAATGTGGGAGATCCGGGTTCAATCCCTGAGTCGGGAAGATCCCCTGGAGAAGGGAATGGCAACCCATTCCAGTACTCTTGCCTGGAAAATCCCATTGACAGAGGAGCCTGGGAGGCTGCAGTCCATGGGGTCACAAAGAGTCAGACACAACTGAGCGACTTTCCTTTCCTTTTTTCCTTTAACTCTATTCCTTCTCTATCCTAAATACTTTAAAAAGGCAGAAGAGAACCCTCCCCCTATCCTTCAGTCCTGCCAACTATGACTTCTACCCATAGACTTTGTATTTTTTCTGCTACTCGTTTACCTTCTTCAACTGCTATCTGGACTGTTAATTCAGTGGCCTTCTAATCCTTCTGCCTCAAACTTGTCCCTTTTGTCACATGTTCTTCACTTTGCAGCCAAAGGCATTCCAGCTTAAATAGCTGTTTCCCCTTCCTTACAGTATGGGAGCCAGTCTTCTTGGCATGGCATATACCTGGCCCTTCCCACCAAGATCATGACTTCTTTTGAGCTTTATCTCTTGCCAAGGAATACTTTTTTAGTATAAGTATGCCCCCCATGCAATATATAGTCTTAAGTATATCCCCAAATATTGTTATATTAAAAATTAGTTGTTATTTATACAACATTTAAATTTAACTAGACAATCTGTGTTTTATCTGGCTTAATATTTTACCTGGCTTAGTCAAAAATAATAGTAATGTCTCTCTTTGTGGATTTATATCTTGCTGTGATCTAAAAACATTGGAGTTACAGGAACTTGCTGACCACAAAATGTTTGGTATTTCTTTATGAAATCTTTTATAGCTATGCATGAAAGTGAAACTATTATAATAGGATCTCAGTAACAATGCATTTTTGCCTAAGACACTAATTTTTTTTAAAAAAATCATATTTAATAGTAATGATTGCAGATCTTTTCTGAGGGAGAGAATACTCAGGAAGGAAGATGAACTTCAATTACATTTAGTCTTCCTTCCATTTATGGAAATCTTTTATTTTAAAACTTATTGAATTTTTATTTTTTTGGCTGCACCAGGTGACTTTTGGGATCTTAGGTCTCGGATAGATATTTTAATAACCTCATTGTTACTGTTTCTTTAGGATCTTTTCTGTAGAAGAAATGAAATTATCATGCTTCAGTTTTACCTTTAGTGTTTTGTCCTATTTTCCCCTGGTTTTAGTTTTTGTTTTGTGAGTAAAGGCTATAATGTGATTTTTCAAATTATTTTCTGTTCTGAAGAGTGTTCAGCTTTGATGTTGGTAAGAAGCAAGTTTCTCTTTTTTTTTTAACACTAAATCTTTATTTTCTGACATTAATAGAAATATGCTGCTTGTTCTCATAATGTAAGTTTTTAATTATTCTGATAATGTAAGTGGGTTTTATATAAAACCTTCTAACTATACTGGACTAAACCATTGTTGACATTTATCAGATTAAGGCCCATAAATAAAGAACTCCAGTGGATCAAGTAAAAATCCTATTAACCACCAATTCATAGAACAATATATTAAATTTAAAAAAAAGATGTGAACCTTACTAGTAATGAGGTCTATGGACATTGAAACAAGATAGTGGTTTTTAGCCTTTAAATGTGGTGCTCAGGCTGGGAATGTGAGCAGTCTCAAGTATTGCTACTGGGATATAAACACAGCCTTTGAAAGAGTGATTTGACTTTATTGCTTGAAATTTTAAAATGTAGCTACTGCCTGACCCACTGATTTCATTTCTAGGTTAGGAGCTTATCCTATGTAAATAATGGCATATGTGCACTTAATCTCTATATTTACACATTTTAAGAAAAAATACCCGTGTATTATAAGTATAATTTTTTAAAATTCTGATGCTGGATTTCAGAATTCATTAGGGGTAAGTGAAGGCTGAGTGGTACATTATGAGCGCTATATCTCTAAAAAGGATTCAGAGAAAATGAAGGAAAAGGTCTTTGGAAGAGAGACTTTCTTCTCAGTCTTAATTTCTCTCGGTAATTAATTTCACATTGAATTTTGACTTGCAGGCTGAAAGAACCGCACCAACTCTTCCTTACGTGGTTTTAACAAAGATGTTTTCTCTTTTTCTTCAGATCCCTTATTTTGAAGATATCTGTAAAGGCATTAAAGCTGGTGACACCTGTGAGAAGCTGGTGGGGTATTCTGCAGTGTACAGAGTCTGTTTTGGAATGGCCTGTTTCTTCTTCCTATTCTGCCTCCTGACCTTGAACGTCAACAACAGTAAAAGCTGCAGAGCCTACATTCACAATGGGTGAGTCTTCGTGGGGATCGTCTCTCCTTTCCCTGAACTCAGAGCAGCATTCCAGGGCATCTCTACTTGTTACACCCTCTGACTGCTTTCCTCTAGTTGAAGTTGTTGACAGTGATTTGAGAAAATTACACTTTTCACGACACAGTGGACTAAGAACTGAATTCCTGTTTGCAACACCTGATGCCACAATGAGAAACGCAGTGGAGATAAGAGCTTATTTCCTGTACCAAGACCTTCCCCCAGGTCATTTCCACCCTGCAACAAAATGTTTTGCACAGAGGCCAAACATAGAGTCTGTCTAATTATGGGAGGAGGCAGTCCCCAGTCACTTAATTTCTTCCCCTCCATTTGAAGTGAACAGAATCACGGATCGACACACTTACCTTCTAAGAGGGCTTTTGTCCTTCCTTGAATATCATTTGAATACATTTCCTCTGTGTTTTTTTTCTTTTTTCCCTCCAGCTTTTGGTTCTTTAAACTTCTGCTGTTGGGAGCCATGTGCTCAGGAGCCTTCTTCATTCCAGATCAGGAGACCTTTCTGAATGGTAGGAATGGAGGGTTGGGGGTATCTATTTATTGTGTTTTTACCCACTTTGTAAAATTGTTCCAAAGCATAGTCCAGGGTGCTTTTGATATTTTAGGTTACTAACTTTCTTGTAGCTTAAAAAAAAAACCCTGCCTCACCTGCCCACACCTCATTCATCCTCTCTACTTCCTGTCTCCCCCTCAACAACCCCCCACCCCACCCCCACCTCCCCGGATGGGTGACAGAACCTCTAGTTACTCTGCTGGCTGAAGAATTGAAGTTAAGGTTATTGGCCTGAAGGGAAAATGAGGCTTGGAAAACTTGTTTGAAAACTAGTTTAGCAAGTCAGCAACGTGAGCAGGGAGACCTTGTTCTTTCTTCCTTGCCCACAAACCCAGGGGTTGTTAGCAGCTTTAAATCTGCTGCAGCGATAGTGGGCTAAGAAAGGCTGTGTCTAAGATATAGCTGCATCTAAGACAGTGGGGTCCTCTAGGCTATGTCTAAACCTGACTGGTGTGAAACTGTATAACACTGAATGCTATTCAGTCAATTACATTCAATTCAGTTGTATGTCCTTACTGACGGAATCTACCAGAAATACTTAATATGAAGCATTCAATCATAAGTGAAACAAGGGGCCCTTCTTTATTTGAGCTAGGGAGGGGAAAAATAAAGCCTGCGTTTCAGAGGTTCAAAGAACTGTTCAAACCCAGTGGATTCACTTCCCTAATTAAGATAGTGATAAGTATTCACATTATGAATGAGGAACAGCCATAGGTCCTCAAATAGCCACATGCCAGGTCCAGCAAGTTTCTTAGAGTCACACTGCTTTTATGCATTCCTTAAGGAAGTTGTATCCAAGTTGTCTTTTTACCTAAAATACTGGTAACTAGTTTTCTAGTCCCCACAGAGGTCCTTGTGTATATTAGAATAATATACTTAGAATGGATGGGACCTAGCAGTTAGTCCACTAGCTCAGCTCAGTTGGTTTATAAATAACCAGAGATGTGAGGTGCTCATCCAAGGTTTGAGCTGCTTTGTGGCTGAGCTGGAAGTAGAACCCTAGTTTGAACCTCATTTCTTCACTGAACCTTGATGGGTCTCTCCCCAGTAAAATTCAAATCCTTGCTTTTTCTGGCAATATGTGATTTTACTTTTAAATGGGGGGGTTGTTGTTGCTTTTATGAATTAACTACACCTGTTAGGGTATCTGGCATTTATTTATAGCATGGAGGTGAAGCTAGGATGCTGTGGTGCCAGACTGCCTGTGCTCACATCCCAGCCACATCCTTTATGGGCTGCAGGACCTGGTCAGCTTATGTAGACTCTATTTTTCTCATCTGTAAAGTGGGTATAATAGTAGTACCCATCTTGTACAATTGTATGGGAATTCAGTGTGTTAGCAGTACAGGGAGCCTGAGGTAAGAATTAACCACAGTCATTACTTTTTTGAGTTAGACACTTGGGACCGTCATCTCATCTGCTTTCAAACGGTCTTCTTTTGCAGCCTGGCGCTATGTGGGAGCTGTTGGAGGCTTCCTCTTCATAGTCATCCAGCTCCTCTTGCTTGTGGAGTTTGCACATAAATGGAACAAGAACTGGTATGTGCCTTTGCGGAAAGCTTCCACGTGAATGTACTCTCTAGCTTGGAGAAAGTGCCCAGTGTCGACAGAGGCCCTCCCTTGAGTGGGATTGCCAGGGCTTAGCAGCCTGCTTACACCAAAACTGATTTTTGCAGGTTCTCTCCCTTCCCTCTGCTTTTTGAACCTCTTGCTTTACTCCTCTCCCATACTGATTTTCTCTCATTCCTACCTTTCTTTTTCCCACGTCAGTTCTTTTTACTTTTTTCTCCCTTTTTCCCCACACCCTCTCGTTTGGACTCTGAGACTTAGCCATGGGCAACCCCCCTGCTGACGCCTCACAGCCCAGCTCTGTGCTGTATCACTGGCTAAAAACGTTGAGAGAGCTTTATCTTAGGCCCCCATCCTTGGCAGATTAAAAAGAAAAAAGTAGTTTGGAGTGGAAAGTTCACTTTCAGCAGAGACTATTTGATGGACTAGTTCTTTCCTCTTTAAAAATAATTTTGTTGCTTCTCAACTGCCTAAGAGAGGAAGGGCCCCTTCATAGGATTTTTTGTTGTGCTCACTTAGAAAGCCATCCTGACTTTTAAAAATTAGACTCTAAGTGCCTTAAAAATAGGGTTCACGTCCCAAGATGTGTGGCAAATGCCAAACTATTAGTGGCTCCTTTTAATCCTTGCTGAGCTACATTGAGGAAATGACTAGACAAGGGTCTGGCTTCTTCAGTGCTAAGGCCAAGTTGACTCTGTTACTCAGGGCAAAGTTCTGTCTGATTTAACTGTTCTGTCTGACTTTATAAAATATGAGTGAAAATAACTGCCTGCTGTTATCTAGTAAGGCTCTTGTTATTTTGTAGATTTTGTAGGCATCATGTTATTTTATACTCTTTTGGGGCAGGGGAAATCTGAAAGTTCTATCTGCATGTGAATTTATTTTTTTAATTTTGGATAACATAAAATATACTGTCCACATTCTCTCCAAACACTTTTCATTCTGATTATATTCTGCAGCTTGGTAGTTGTTCTGTTTGGGGTTTGTTTTGTTTTTTAAAGATCAAATCATGAGATGCATGAATGAAAAGATACTGTTAGTCATTTTATTATTTGGTAAATACTAGAGTATGCACCCAAATGCCAATGTTAAAAATGTTTATAGCACATCAGATCATCTTCCAAGTAGTACTACAGTCGTATTTTGATATTTTCCAAGTCTTAATCAACTATGAAAATGCAGATTTCTAGGTCTGAATTGTGCTCATATGTGAATTTTCTTTTCAGTGTATTCACTTTTGGTTGTGCTGGGTCTTCCCTGCTGCTCAGGCTTTTCTCTAGTTGCGGAGAGCAGGGGCTACTCTTCATTGTGGTGCCCGGGCTTCTCTCGTTGCGGAGCTGAGGCTCTAGGGAGCACGGGCTCAGTAGTGTGGTGCACGGGCTTTAGTTGTTTTGCGTCAAGTGGAATCTTCCCAGACCAGGGATTGAACCCGTGTCCCCTGCACACTGGCAGATTCTTATCCACTGTACCACCAGGGAAATCCAAAATATAAGTTTATTATTGCATGCTGTCCCACATTTCGAGTCATCCCGGATACCTAGTATGTTTGTGGTTTCTACTAGATCTTGTTTTGAGGCTGCAAAGTTTTCCTGAAGATAAGTCTAATGGGTGACTATAGTTTCATGTGACCCTGTTTTCTCAGTTGTACAGAAGAAAGGTGCACAGTAAGTCAGAAATGCATTTTAATTGATGAAATATCACACTTTCCATTGATTCTTAATATACTTTCACTCTGAATTTTTGTAAGACAAAATGTAATATGTCACCCCCAATTTTTTCTAAGATTTTCACAAATTTCGAGTTAGGAACTTGGTAGTAAAATATTAATATCTTTGATTCTGAGGGCCTGATTTGCCCATTAAATAGTATGTTCTCTCAAGAATGCTTGTGCTGCTTTATTCTGACTTTTAATGTTTTGATTGATTCTGAAGCCATTTTCTAGGACTGATTATCGATGCCAAGTTTTAACAGGCATTTTGGAAGAGTTTGATCACTTTAAAAACTTTCCAGAAGCCACCTAATAGGAATGGCTTAAGAGCTTTGCAGCAATTGATGTTGCTGTCGGGCTGTGGGGCCAGTATCCCAACAAAATCCCTTTAGTCCACATGCTCGTGGTTTCTTGATCTGCCTAAAATTAAGATTAAGCTAGGAAATGTACAAATATTGTTATTTTTATGTAAATTCATTTAATTTAGGGTTTTTTTTAATGGAGATTCTTGCTTTCAAGGTTAGTCTAGAAAATGTAATACTTGTATCTCTCTTCATGGATGGAACAACCAAAGTTTTTCTTCCCTTTTCTTTTTTCTCCTTTTGTAAAGATCTTGGGAAAGAGATAACCTCAAAGGCGGTAGAAGAGAAAAGGCCATGGGCCTGGATACCAGGCAGCAGATTTTAATGGCCCTGACTATCTGGCTGTTTTACTTGAGGCATGTGTGCGTGTTCGGTTGCTCAATTATGTCTGACTCTTTGTGATCACGTGGACTATAGCCCCCCAGGCTCCTCTGTCCATGGGATTCTCCAGGCAAGAATACTGGAGTGGGTTGCCATTCCCTTTTCCAGGGGAGCTTCCTGACCCATGGATTGAACCTGGGTCTCCTGCATTGCAGGCGGATTCTTTACCATCTTTGAATCTTAAGGCATATGACTTGACTAGTCTGACCTCGGTTTTTATACCTGTAAAGTGATATGTTTTGTTCTTTTGTTAAAAGATAAGCTAGGGCATTTAAAAATGTTTGTGTGAAAATCGATTCAAATTCAGCACTCTCCAATCTGGCAAGTAGAAAGGAGCTCTGAGGAGCTATACAAAATAAAAGGACCTTTATAGGCAAAAGGGAACAGAGGCAAGGAAGTCACATTAAGCAGAAAAGCAGCTTAGTTATTGTGAGGTAACTTTCCTACAGGGGATGGCAGGCCCTACCAGTCAGACTACCCAACTAGTTGACTACACTGTCTAATTAGTGCTGAATAGGCGATCTCTGATTGGCTGGTTTAAGATTCTGTTTCTGGGAGAGCTGATACTCTGTGGCGTTGGGTTTGGCGACATGGGGCTTAGCATTAGTGACTTCATTTTAAGTCTTTCATCTTGTTTTTAACACTTTCTAGGCCAATTTTTGTGGTTTGAAGTATCAGTTGTATATCAAAACTGAAATCACAAAAAACAGATGGTACAGTCAGGTGTTTCTAATGAAGACCATTTTCTAGACTTTCTAGATTTAAAAATTCACGTTGTTGCTGGCTTTTGTTTTCCCCTAGTGCTCATCCCACGCCTGAGCCCAGCCACCTCTTCTAACCTGATAACCTTCTTTCTTCTGTATCTATGTACCTCATCCTACCACTTGGTCCTTTTCTAATCTTCACCTAAGTGCTCGCATTGACCATTGATGCAAAATTTTGGGAGTGCTAACTCTGTGCCAGGCACCACGAGTACAGTCATGGCATTATTTGGCGTGTCTACAGAAGTTGTCTCGGGAGGACCAGCAGGGGCTGGAGCAACAGGGAGCAACCGCTCAGTCGTCATTGCTGCATCAAGCTGTCCTCTGACAGTTGGCAGTCCTGGCACCGATATTCTTTAAGCACCTGTTGCTTGCCAGGCACTTAACAGTAGGCAGTGAATGCAACTGTGCCCTGCTCTGTGGAGTGTATATTCTCCTGGAGAGGAGACGGGGTAGCTAATAAGTCTAATCAAGCAAATAAGTAATAGGTTCAATGGTGGAGAGTGTGCTGTGGGTGTGAGAGTTGGGGCGAGCAGGGCCGGGAAAGGGTTTCATTATAAGGTATGAGGGAGACGAAGGAAGTTGGGAAGAGCCTGGGGCAGGGCTGCGCTGGCTTGTCTAAGGAGCGAGGAGACATCCACTGTGGCTGGACCCCAGTGGCATGAGGGGAAGGTGCACGAGAGAAAGTCATTCATCAGAGATGGCCCTGTACCAGATCATGAAAGGATTCTGGGGTCATCATGGCAGATGGCAGGGCACTAGAGGTACAGAATCTAATGCACATTTTAAGTTAAGAAAAGATGAGAGGAGGTCATAGGTGGAAGTAAGGAGACTAGTGGGAGGTGATCCAGGGGAGGGATGACGTAGCTTGGTGCTAGATGGTAGCAGCAGTCAGATGCTGATAGAGTCTGAAGTGGGAACCAAGGGAGTTTGCTGCTGGAGTTGGCATGATGTTGGGGAGAGGGGAGGAGCAGGGAGTGAAAGACAGTGGCCAAGAGCAATTGCAGTTCTTTATCTACCCCCACCCCCAATGGAATTGCCATATTCTGAGGTTGGGAAGATCACAGGAGAGCAGGTTTGGGGATGGAGGTTTGAATACTGGCAAGTTAACCTGGACTTCCTAAGATCCACAAGCCAGTTAGACCTCCAAGTGGAGACATTAACAGGGATAATAAGAGCCTGGAATAGAGGGGAGAGGTTAGGGTTGAAGATTTAACCTTGGGGGTCCAAGCAAAATCAACTGTTAAGAAAGTCCTTCTTACACTAATAAAATAGCCCAAAAGACTGGTGAGGACACAGCTGGATCCCCCACTTACACACTGGTCAGCAGTGTTCACCTTTTTCTTCATAATCCATTTTCTCTCCCTGTCAAAAGGTAGCATTTGACTCTTTCCTTTCTCTAAGTCTCATTTTATCTTCATGTGATTTGTGTGCCTTCTCTATTACAATAACTCCACAGCCATCAGACTGCCTGGCTTGGTTTCAGGAGTATGATGGTCGTTATCATCTTGGCCTTTCCTCTTTGTTTCCTTTGTCTCTGGCCACAGTAACTTCTCCATCATTCAAACCTTTCAGCTGGGCTCCTTAAACACTTCCCAACTCTGTGAAGACATGAAGCAAGTTGCCTGCTCTCGAAGTTTTGTGAGATGTGGTTACAAAGGGCAGTTGACCCCTAAGACAGATGAGGTGATTCGGACGACCCCCTGCTGTAGTCCTGTCCTCTTCTTTTAGCATCACTAAGCCTCTTCTTTGTTCTGAACAAGCTCTATAGGTTGTTAAGCCACCACATGCTTCTCCCATCCCTTTAATAATGTTTATACAAAATAATATAATCTTTACACTAGTCTCCTCTTCTAGATTCTTTATTATAAATCCCATTAAAATTTTTTCCTCTTTATTCTGCTAATTTTATTCTTCACTTTTTTTTTTGGGAGGAGGTGGCTGTGCTCCAAGGCATGTGGGTTCTTAGCTCCTCAACCAGGAATCAAACCGAGGCCCCTGGCAGTGAGAACACTGAGACCTAACCACTAGACCACCAGGGAATTCCTGCCTTCACTTTTCTTTAATGTCAAGCTCTTCCTTAATCATATCTGAAATTGTTTGGGAGAAGCAGTACTAGTATAGAGTCTTCTTCTTTTCAGTGCAAGGACAAAAGAGATGAGGTCAGCCAGTCTTTCTCTGGGTGAAGTTCAATTACTTCTCTCTCCCTAAAGAGAAGATGGGCATCAGCAGGAGCTGCTGGCAGCATTTGGAGAAAAGAGACTGGCACCCCCAGGCTCTGTATTTCTGGGAAAACTTGGAGAGAACTCCAGCACACAGCCCACTTTATAATACTGCCAGAACTTGTCCTGGGGTAGTTGACATCCAGAATAGGGAAGCTAAAGTTGGTGAATATTCATTTTAGTTACTGAATACACTTGAGTCAAAGACTGAAGTTTTTCAGGGTTAAAAAAAAATTCTATGCTTGAGCCAAGAATTTTTTGCATATTCAGCTGTACCTTCTAGTTTTTAGTTGGTAAAACGATTGTTTGCTGTTGTTCATACACTAAGTCACGTCTGACTCTTTGTGACCCCGTAGACTGCAGCACCCTAGGCTCCTGTGTCCTTCACTATCTCCTGAAGTTTGCTCACATTCGTGTGCATTGAGCTGATGATTCTGTCTAACCATCTCATCCTCTGCTGCCCCTTTCTCCTGCCCTCAGTCTTTCCCAGCATCACGGTCTTTTCCAATGAGTAGGCCCTTTGAATCACATGGCCAAAGTGTTGGAGCTTCAGCTTCAGTCCTTCCAATGACTGTTCAGGGTTGATTGCCTTCAGAATTCACTAGTTTGATTTCCTTGTGGTCCAAAGGACTCTCAAGAGTCTTCCCTAGCACCATAATTCACAAGCATCAATTCTTCAGCACTCAACCTTCTTTATGGTCTAACTCTCACATCCATACATGACTACTGGAAAAACCATAGCTTTGACTAGATGGACCTTTGTTGGCAAAGAAATGCCTCTGCTTTTGCATATGCTGTCTAGGTTTGTCATTGCTTTCCTTCCAAGGAGCAAGCATCTTTTAATTTCATGGCTGCTGTCGCCATCCACAGTGATTTTGGAGCCCAAGAAGATAAAACCTCTCACTGCTTCCACTTTTTCCCCTTCTATTTGCCGTGAAGTGATGGCACAGGATACCATGGTCTTAGTTTCTTCAATGTTGAGTTTCAGGCCAGCTTTTCCACTCCCTCCTGATGAAGAGTCTATTTAGTTCCTCTTTGTTTTCTGCCATTAGAGTGGTATCATCTGCATATTTGAGGTTGTTGATAATTCTCCTGGCAGTCTTGATTCCAGCTTGTGATTCATCCAGCCTGGCCTTTCGCATGATGTACCCTACATAGAAGTTAAACAAGCAGGGTAACAATATACTGCCTTCTCATGCTCCTTTCCCGATTTGGAACCAGTCTGTTGTTCCATGTCCAGTTCTGACTGTTGCTTCTTGACCTGCATACAGGTTTCTCAGGAGGCAGGTCAGGTGGTCTGGTATTCCCATCTCTTAAAAATTTTCCACAGTTTGTTGTGATCCACAAAAACTGATAAAATAATAGGTCTTCTGAATATCTCCTTACGATGGTCTGGGACCTGACAGCATTAGCTAATAATGCTTGAAGGGTGGTAGATATTGTTGGAGAATCAACTGACCTGTCTTCCCCGCACCCCTTCCTCTTCTCTACTTCTGGAGAAACAGGACTGCAGGCACAGCTACCAACAAGCTGTGGTACGCCTCTCTGTCCCTGGTGACCCTCGTCGCATACTCCATCACCACGGGAGGTTTGATTTGGATGGCAGTGTTTTATACCCAGAAAGATGGCTGCTTGGAAAATAAAATTCTCCTGGGAGTAAATGGAGGCCTGTGTCTGCTTATGTCAGTGGTATCCATCTCACCTTCTGTCCGAGATCGTAAGCAGTTTTTTTTCCTTCCATACTTCCTTGTTCATATTATAAATGTCTTTGACCCTAATTTTGGAAATTATGGTCAGTTCTTATTTTACCACAGGTGGGTCAGCATAGAAAAGGTGGGATTCCAGTGTCCTCTTCGTTCCCTGCACTGGGCTGAAGATGATAGTCAATCATGCCTCTGTCAAAGATTTGAGTATAATGAAGTCAATGAATAAGAAGATAGATGTTACAATTGTTAAATAATGTACTACAAGGAGCGTTTCAATGGAAAATGCCTTTAGTGGATATTTAACTCTTCTCTATAATCTTTTTGTAAAATTTGAATGAATGAGAAGGCTCCCGAAGGAGCTGTTTTGGGGCTTATCTTTGACTTAAGACCCCTGTGGACCACAAAAAGTACAGCGTGGTCCCAGAATCAGGAAATAGGAAATCCAATCCTGGCCCAGCCATCCGCTGGCCCCAGGAGCTGACCTTTCTCAGATCCAAGTCCTTCCTCAGCAAAGCCGATAGAAACCTGTGAGCCTGATCTTGCTCATGGTTGTTTCAAAGCCAAAAGAAATGACTGAAGTTCATTATTGAAATTGAGATTATTACTCACCCAGTTCCTTTATCAGTTAAGAATTTCCTAAAACATTATTACTATTCAGATCAAAATATTCTTTGGGTTGAATTATACCCTTTGAAATAGTTATAATTTGGTTTAGTGCCATTAATTGTTAAAGGTAGTCTCATCCCCATGCCAAAGAGCACCATTGAAAAGGGCCTATTTTTTACCTTTATTGGTCCTTATAATTTGATAAGTAAAATTCTGGACATAAATTTAATCAGAGGGAAGACTAGGTAAAACTAAATCATTTTATGTCTGTGGATGGTTGAAAATTTCACCAAAAAAAACGATGAATCTCTTTTATTGCATCTTGGCTACTCTTAGCCATCTGAACAGTTTAATTTAAATATTGTAACATAAAAGGCCTTTTCCCAATAAATGCTGAGTCCCATAGCCTCATTCTTTGGCTTGGACCAATTCTAGTATTCCCAAAGGTTTTCTGTCCATTGACAGATAAGAACTCTTCCCTACGGGCATGGATTCTGAGTATCTGATGGCTTTGTGAGTCTGGAATCCAAGTCCTCCCTATAAAATCCATCATTTACCCCCATAAGCTATGTGATCTCGCAAATTAACAGTGGTAAATTTTTTCTGGAGACCTTGTGATTTAAGAACTAATGTTAACGAACCTCAGGGAGACCAGGCAGTATGTTTCAGTACAGCTGTAGTTATTATCAAAATAAGGTGTTGGGCGAGAACTCGTCAGAACTTGGCATCTCTGAAACAGCATTTAGGTTCAGTGTGTGACCCCCTCCCCCCCAAATATTTTAGTGTTATATGAGAAATACGTTACGTACCTCTTCTTACCTTCAAGTGTGGGGCTCCAAGTTTGAGGGATATTGTTTGGGGCAGACCTTTTTTTTGTGGGGGTGCACATGCTTTCTCACCGTTGATTTATAACATGGTCCCTTGTCGTTCTCCAGGACAGCCGCACTCTGGGATACTGCAGTCGGGTCTCATCAGCTGCTATGTCACGTATCTCACGTTCTCAGCCCTCTCGAGCAAACCTGCAGAAGTAGGTAAGCTGGCCTTGTAGGGAGACTGAGCTTGCAGGGTGAATATTGTCATTTGTGGGGTGAGGACCGTGCCTCCTCGAACTATCGTTTAAGTGTCAGAGATGCAATCCTTCAAAGTAGAGAGGTGATCTAGACTTCTTCGCTAAATAGTGTCCTCAGCATGGGACATGAACCTGGACCTTCCTTCTCCCAAGTCTTCCTGCTCTGCAGGAAAGACATGAACTCACGGGGGCTCATGAGATTGCTTGTAAGCCTAATCTGCATGTTCCTGCTCAGAAATAGTCAAATAATCAAGAAATTATCAGAAATATTCATGATATTTCCTTTGGTTCTTTTTATTATTGTTATTGTTTTTTAGATGGTTATTAATTTACTTCAGTGATCATTTCTCTGACTCTTAACAGAGAAAGAATGTTGGGGAGTGGTTCTGCCACTTCAGTAACTTATATAAAGTGACTTACTTTTCTCTTCCTAGACATCTCACCTTTAAAATAAGAATTTTAATTATTATTTTAAGAAGATAATTAAGATTCCTCTTTTATAGGGTGGTTTTTAAGACTTCAGTTGAGTACGTGTGTATCTGTATACGTACAGTTTCTGGCATGTCAGAGGTGCTATGTAAAGGTTACCTATTATTTTTGTGGAGTAATTGCAGTGGACATTTGAGAACTATCAAACACCATTATAGGTTGTTGCTGGATGAGCCCTTGAACTTTCCCAGTAAAGGACCATGTTTTCTTATTTTGATCTCCAAACTCCTTATATTTCATCATTTTTTTTCATTTTTGTGATATACAGATGTATATATACATGTATACTCATATATACATAATATATATAAATGTGTGTATGTTTGGGTATATTTTATATAAATCAAGTTAAATACATATACTCTTTTTTCTAGAGTAGAAAATTGATGTTTTCCTTTTTTAAATTTAGAAAGTAAATGCAAAGATGTTTTTGAAAGTTTTATCATATACATGTAGTATGTAGGGTCTTGCCTTTATAGCTATTTATAGTACAATGTGAATATAATTGTAGGTTTTTGTTAAGTATAGTCTATCCTGGGTGTAATTTTTTTAGGAAAAAAGCTCTATAAATTTGACTTCAAGTTTATTTAAATCTAGTCTATTTAAAACTTTTATGAGTATTTTGACTATTTACATATTAATCTCTGGCTTTAACTTAATGGGGTTTTTTGGTTACAGTGTTTTTCTTCTCAATGGCCGGTGTCACTTAAATACAGAAAAAAACTTTATTTTTAATTTTGGGTGGTAGTATTTAAATAGCAAAGTTCATATTTTGGTCAGGTTTGTAAAGAAAATTTTCATTGGCCTAAGAATAAAGATTCCTTAAGCCACAGCACACAGTTAAGTTTACAGTTTCAAGTGGGAGTACAAGTAATAATTTTAGTGCAACTTTGAGCCCTTAGAATGTGCATGTTTGTAAAATGGTTTGTAGTCTGTTATTTTATATTTATGTTCCTCGTTTTTGGGCAGAGCAAATAGAGCCAGCTTGGGCATTCAGAATTGAAGACTCTGTTAGATAAAAAGTAAACAACTAATGGTGGTAATATGATAGGAATCTTTGTTATATAGCCTCTACAATTTTATAAGATTCTAGCCACTTGAGAAGTTTCCCAGGTTACAGCCTAAAAGATGTCATGACTGTCCTGTTACTGACAATAGAATGACTTCTTATCTGGGTGGAGGCTGTTGGCCAGACAGCAGTTCCTGCGAGTTCTGTTTGATTGTTGGTTAGTCTCAACATGCCTCCATGTCTCTCCAAGGAGGATAGACATGGAGGATGCTCTCAGTTACCTGTATGCTACCTGCTGCCCAGTCAGCCAATTTATTGTTATCATTTAGTCCCTAAGTTGTATCTGACCCTTTTGTGACCCCATGGACTGTAGCCCACCAGGCTCCTCCGTCCATGGAATTCTCCAAGCAAGAATACTGGAGTGGGTTGCCATTTCCTTCTCCAGGGGATCTTTCCAACCCAGGGATTGAACCTGTGTCTCCTGCATTGGCAGGCAGATTCTTTACCATTGAGCCATGAAGGAAGACCCATGAGCCAATACTTTTGACTATTGCTCCAATAGTACTGAAAAAGAACATGACTCTTAGAAATCCCTGGTACCAAAGACCCCTTTAGCACTAAACTGACACCCAAGGGTCTTATACGGAGAGGCTGCCTAGGTGGAAGAGGGTGCTTTACAGAGCAGCGATCTAGTCTGAGTTGAGTTGGATGGTAGAGGAAACCTTTCCAGTGCTGAGTGTTCACTGTTCTATACTGCATGAATTTTCCCAGAGTGAATGCATCCCTGAGTTACAGAGGGCTTTTCTAATATGGCAGTGATTCCTTTTTTCTTTTGTTCCCAAGTCCTGGATGAACACGGGAAGAACGTCACCATCTGTGTGCCTAACTTTGGTCAGGACCTATACAGGGACAAGACCTTGGTTGCTGGTCTGGGTACCGCCATCTTGTGCGTGTGCATCTTGTATTCATGGTAAGTTTTAGAAGTTCCCTGAGGCCATCTTTGCAGACTTTAAAAGTGCAAGAGGAGAATTTACATAAGTTTTAGCAGTATGAGGCAGTCAAACAAATACCATCTGAGGAAGAGGGGAAATGAAGCCTGAAGTAAGAAGGTGGTGTTACAGCATGAAATTTAGCTGTTTGGACTTCATTTTACATAGCTTGTACTTCTTTGGGGTAAATAAAATAAATATATATGGTATGTTGCGATCCTTTAAAAGATGGCTGAGTATTACTTGCTAAAGCCCTTTTGGAGAGTAAGGGAGCACAAAGTGAGGAAGAGACGGTATGTGCCAGAATGTTTTGGCAACTTTCTACTCCAAAAGAAAAAACGTTTGTTCTCTTGTTGATGGAAAGAGTACAAAGTACTCCATACACAGACATTTTGTGCTTGATCCAGGAAAGACAGGAAACATTTCTTTTATGCTAAAACTCACATTGCTTTTAAGGAGCAAAGTCATTTCTCCAAAAGTAGGTGTGATACATAAGCAGGCTGTGTTTTAGGTGCTTGGGGTGGGGTTTGTTATTTTAAAATCTATGTAAAAAAATATCAGAGGGAGAAGAGTAAAGGATAGGAATCATAAGTTTCTTACTCCATTTACATGTTTCACTGATGATCACGCTTCCCCTTGACAGTCACCCTTTCATGTTTAGGTTTTACTCCTGTGTTTTACATTTCAGTATATTTCAGTATCTAAAAATTTCAACCAGTCACAGGCACATTATAGTGATCCTTTGGCCAAAACTGAACTACCCTTGGTGGCTTGTATAAGTAGAATGTGTCTCTGTGCACGCTGGCATTTTCTCTTACAGCTTCTCACACCCCTTCATGCTGTAGAGAGGGACCAACAGACATGGACCTGCACGACAGACATAGGCAGGAGAACGGAGTGTTATGAAGCATGTGTTCACAGTCGTGCATCAAGCGTGCAAAGGCATGCAGTGTCGACTCTCAGCCTGTTTGTGACGCAGCGGCAGCTTCACCACACGACGCGACTGTGTGGCGATCACAGCAGAAGCGACCGTGGCAAACACTTTCTGGCCTTCCGTTATTATTAATTCCATACGTGTTCACCGATTCAGGCCCACATCAATGCATGTTTTCAGGAAAACAGTTAAGGCACCCACATTTTAATCCTGATTCTCAGTCCTTCCTTTCTTAAGTTTTTCCTTCCTGAGTCTATTGTTTTTGGGCTTTGGGGGAGAAATGTCAGCAACATGGCTAATTTTATGACCTGTCACTCACTTTTTTTCCGTATTGGCAGGTAAAAAATATTGGTGAGTCCAGCAAGGAGAAAGGTTACTAAACTATAAATGTAGACTATTTCAGTTTTAGAATAAAATGTAGTTGTATTTACATATGAAGAAAAAGTCCCGGAAAGAGATAAACCAAGCTTGTAATGGTGCTAGTATTATGTATATAATTTTTTTGTTTTTTTCTTTAAAAAAAAATATTTTCTTTTAACATGAGCTATTGCTTCTTTTGTTTGTATTATCAGGGAAAAAAAGCTGTAAAGATATTTGATAGACTAAAATCAGGTGTTTTTGTGAGTTGCTGAATGCCTAATCCCACATGATTAAAAATGTTTGCTCCCTTAGATAAAATAGGGCTTAGGTTTGCTATCAGTGGAAAAGATGCAAAAATGCTATTTAATATGGTGATAGAACTGCCACCAGTGGTTTTGGTTTGTGGTGTGTAATTTCCACCCTCTATGTCGCTTTTGAAATTTAGCAGCTCCTTAGCAGAGGTTGGCAAGGTCTAGTCTGAGATTCCCAAAAGACCTTTAGAAGCTGACAGCTGCTATGTAAAATCTGTCTAAATGCCAATAGCAAACGTTATTGAATGCTGGTGATCAATCTGCAAAACCATAGTGCTCGAAGGATGAGGAGTCAGAAAACAGCAGCCACACCAAGTGGAGCTGAGGAGTAACCAGGCAGCTCCGTGGCGCTGATGCAGTGCGTGTAGCATGGAGCACGTGTAGCATGTAGCACGTGTAGCATGTAGCACATGGCATGAATGTCCCACCTGGTGATTGCTGGGGGTTCAGTGCAGTCTGCACAGTGAGGAGGCCCTGGGTGACTGGTGTTTGCTCTAATTACCCACCGCAGCTTCAGGAGGAGTGGGCTTTGAGAACTTTATACCAAGCAGCCTGGAGTTCAAGGGGGCTTTGAGTGCAGCCCTAGGAGGGCCTTGAAAAGGGGAAGTATGGGAGGTGGTACAATTTGGAGGGTTTCAAAGCTTGACTTCCTCGACTCAAAAAGGATTAAGAAGTTGGAAGATGTTACAACAGGAGGCTGCATTGCCTGGGCGAAAACTGTCATTTGAAGATTGCAAGAATGTCTATATTTCTCGATAGAATCTGTAGGAAGACTAGTGCATTGCGGAGAGAGGAATTCACCCATTTTCTTTCTTTTTTAAAAAAAATTTATTCTTATTTATTTTTGGTCCTGTTGCTATGAGTGTGCTTTCTCTAGCTGTGGCGAGCGGGAGCTCTTTGCTGTGGAGCTGGGACTTCTCATTGCAGTGGCTTCTCTTGTTCAGAGCACAGGCGCTAGGGTGCACAGGCTTCAGTAGTTGTGGCTCACGGGCTTAACTGCCCCAGCACATGTGGAATCTTCCCCGACCAGGGATTGAATCTGTGCCCCCTGCATTGGCAGGCGGATTCCCAACCCTGGACCCGGGAAGTCTGAAATCGCCTATTTCAACAGAAGTCCAAGACTGCTTGGGACTTCATTAAGATCTTAGAGGCTCACTATGCTATGTTCTCTCCTAGCTGGAGAATCCCCCACCCCACAGCCCCCGCCACAGACACACAGACACTCTCTCTGTCTCTAATGCTTCTTTAGGAGGCTCTCACAATGAACTCCAGTTTTGCTTTTTGGCTTTCTGCCCCAAGTCCTGCTTCTGTGGCACTCACTATGAGGATGTTTTACTCTTGGCTGTTTTAGCTTGGAAGGAGGGTTCAGCCAAAACCCACACCCTGGCTTTCCAGCTGAGGCCGCCCCTTCCCCTGTACCCAGGCATCATGCTGTAAAGAAATGTCGCAGACAGGACCCGTCAGGAGTTCCCTGGCGCGCTCTCTGTATGTCTGTGCCCCTGTGCCCTCGTAGGCTGGCACCTGCCCTGTCCTCCCCTAGCTACTCCTCAAGTCCCTCCTTGGTCTCTAGGTTTTTACTGAAATTGTTAGTCTGTTGGCTTTAAATTCACGAACTGTCAAATGAGACAGGATTATGGAGCCCATCAAGTTGAGTTCCCTCATGGAGTAGAATTTCCTGGAGGTCCAGTGCTTAGGACTCTGTGCTCTCACTGCCAAGGGCCTGGGGTTCGATTCCTTGTTGGAGAACTAAGATCCCACAAGCTGTGCACCGCCCTCCACCCCACAAAATTCAGTTCCCTCCATGTACTTAGAAGGAAAGTGAAATGTGGAGCCTGCTCCTATATGTCTCACCCAGTTACGGAAACCTTTCCTTCCACCTCCTTTGCTGAAGTATTGAGAGAGACATGCTCATAGTCATTTTTCTTTCCCCTGGGATGACTTGGAATCAGGTCGTTTTACTTAGGTGGACCAATCAGCTGGGCGACTTACATAGTTGCATTATTAGGAGGCATTTGTGTGATAAAATGTTTCTGGTTATTTTAGTTTTAGCTATACTTAAGAGAAAAGAAAATAAGTATTTTTTCAGCTGTCTAGGAATTTGAGTACAAAATTGGAAAAACTCAGAATCTTTACTAAGGGTCAAACAACTTGCTAGTTCAAATGGGACATTCACAGCAATATGGAAATAATTGGAAGATTATTTGGAAATAATTTGGAAATAACTGCAAGATTAGTAAGATGGCATTGGAGGGACTAATTTAAACTGAGAAGAGTTGGCACATCAAGGAGAGTTACCTATACTGTTGGTGTGGGATGGACCTGCTGCTTTCTTTCTTTTTTTTTTTTAAGAATCGGGGGGTGTATTTTTGGGAATCCCGTTACTCCGGAACCTGCCAGCTAGAAATCTTCATGTCTCTGCATCAGGGGTTTGTTGAGGGCCTCTTCCTACAAACTCTGGTTTCTCTTGGGAGCTGAGTCTCCAGCTCCGTCTTATACTGGGAAGGTAGTTGAACGTGATTACACCAAGGCTGAGAACAGTCACGTGATCTCTCAAGGGCCCTGTAAGTTGGTCAGGGGCAGAATCTGTGGTCTCCAGCAGGAAAGTTTGGACGTGTTGGCTGGAGATTTTCTGCAACCTAGTGGAGTTTGGCCAGTTCCAAAAGCAACTGAAGCAGATGCGGAGGGGCATCTGCATTACAAATCTTTCTTCCAGTGTGCAAGAGCTTCAGGGCTCAGCCGAGGCGGGGAGGGCTTGGGGGTAGCGGGAGCTTTGTTTTTCCATCGGCACAGCAATGGGAAGATGCTACTGGCTGTGAGTGAGTGAGGGCTCAGGGTATTAGTCAGAGAAGGTTACTAGACATTCTGTGTCCAGTGAAGCTCTGCCCCAACCAAATGCTGTCAGGCTCCTCCCACCCCCGCAGGAAGCACAGGGTTAAAGTCAGTCAGGCCTGAGCCCTGGAAGGGAAGAGGTTATGGATAATCCGGGAATTGTCTTGTGCGGACCAGATGGTGCTAGTAATAGCCAGAGTGCAGACAGTAAGAATTTCTCAGGCTTTTAAAGAGTTTGTAAAAACAAAACAAAACAAAAACAACAGTATTTTCTCAGTAATTCTAAGGAGAACGTTTTGTGGATAAAGGCTATGACTGAATAAAGACCTTATTTTGTAGTTACGTTTACTTATAGAAGTCCATATATATGATGAACAGATTATAGGTATTTTTAGAAGTAAGAACAAAAGCTCCCCCCTTTGTGTCCTCCGATGATGAAAGCGAAGTGACAGAGGTGCCAGGACCAAAAGCTGGCTTTTCTGAAACCATCTTATTCCCAAGAAGCTAGGACATGGAATATTTAGTCAAACTCTTGTAAAGAATAAACGTCATCTTTCAGATGAAAATTCCAGATATTGATCTCTTCCTGAAGTTAAGTCACATGTGCCCCCATGGAAACGACAGACTGTATTAACTCATAATTCATATGCGCAAAATATAGCACCTTGAGTGCAGGAGTCAGGCATGTGTGTTTCTTGGGCACACAGCCATGGAATTATTTCTGTCACTCCTCAGACCAGGCTCAAGCCAGGACGTGGTAGTGGAGTGGGCCTCTATTAACATCCATCTGCTCAAAGCAGAATTGAAAGTGATGCTGTTGGGCTGAGTGGACCACAAAAGAAACAATGATCTTGGATCCCAGAGGGCCTTTTTAGGAGGGAAGCTTTTTATTGTTTATTTGCATCTCATTGATCTCTTCTCTCCTTGGGGAAGAGGATGAGAATGAGTCGAGAAGACAGTGTTCCCTTTGTGGTTTATTTGGTTGAAATGAGTCTGGAATTCCTGCCTCTGCACTAACAGCTCCCACTGTCCCACCCTCTCCCCTATCCCTGGAGTGGCAGGAGGAAAGGGATTGTTCTCTGTCTCCCTGAGTTCCCAGTGCTTAGAACAGGGCACACCTTCAGTAAGCATTTGCTAAATGAAACTGTATAGGTTATTCATGTACACTGTATAGTTACACGTAGAAATGTGCTTAAAATGATCCCCATCCCAGGAAAAAATAAATGCATTTTTGTACCTCTGTAAGCCAGATTTTACAACATTTTACCTCTCTAGGCAGGAGGAAAGTGTCAGGAAGAATTTTTTTAAATGACATTGATAGCTACAATATACTGAATTTCTAAATAGAAAAACTTGTCTGTCCAAGGCTGATTATCACAGAAAATTGTGATGACCTTCGCTTTTCATGCCTTTGAGTTCTCTTCTAAGTGAGACTAGTCAAAAGGAGGGGAAAGATAACGGTGAAATTTGAAAAGTTTGTTGGCATTTGAAGGAGGAGAGGCAAAAAACCAAAGTGAAAACCAAAGTAACAAGACCAAAAGACAACTTTTTTTTTTTTTTTAAGCTTCTGCTTGCATAAAATGATCTAATGCCATCCATGGAAGAAGACATCGGCTGTTGAGTTAGTCAGCCAGTTTTGGAATAAAGTGGGATATTAACATAGACAACTTTTATTTAAGCAGAACTGTAGGTTAGAGTGAGCCTCCTAAGGGTCCTGGCCAGGCAGTTCTGCCCTCCTCTGACTTGTTATATGACATGTTAACATGTAACACGTTAACTCAGCTGACCTTTCTGTTTGTCTTAGTTTGACATCAACGACAAGATCAAGTTCCGATGCTCTGCAGGGCCGGTACACAGCTCCCGAGCTGGAAGTAAGTTCATTTCCTTTTCTTGGCCCTGCTTCATCCCGGAAGACCCATTTCCCAGGAAGGCTTTTTATGTGTTTACTTGCATCTTTAATGGTCTGCATCCCATGATCCCATTTTTCTACTCAGGAAGGAACACAATTCCTGTACAGAAAAAGAAATGTCCTCAATATACTATAGGATTAAAATAAAATTTGTTGATTTCCTCTGGTGTGGCATCCAGCCACCTCGCTCCCACCAAAGCCCTGGGTAGCTTGTCAGTCTGCTCTCTGCTTTTCTCCTCTGTCGTAACAGAATGCATGTGGGTGGTTTTAACTTCTGGTCCCTTCCCCTAGTGTGTACCTGCCTGTGTCCTGCATACATGGCACAACTGTGAGGTCAGACGGCGACTGTTGGAAGGAGAAGGGGAGGGACACCCTGTCCGTGCCCTCCTGGACCCCGTCTGTATGTGAGCTTATTCCCTGCTGCAGCTCCAGCAGGTGGGCAATTCATGGGGCGAAGAATAGCAAACGGTGAACAGAGGCCTGCCGGTCAGCAGAGTATCTTTTTCTTTCTGATGCAAAAGTCCTCTCCTGAGGCCCTCGGTGGAACATCCACTGAGGTCACAAAAGGTCTAATCAGATGGAAGCAGCCAGAAAGAAACTCCGCCCTGACTCCAAGAATGGAAAAAAGAGGCGTTTCCAGGGACGGCTAGGACTTGCTGTGTTCTAACCACTGCATCTGTGATTTCATCTTCAAAGAAACCCAAGGAGGCTTTTATCTCCATTTTCCAGCAGGGTGGGGGACAAACAGAAAAGTTAAGTCCGTTAAACGTAGGATTCGCCAGCATGTAAACCATGTACTCTGGCTCGAGTCGGTGCTGTGTTCCCAGCCACCATTGCCCAAGATCTGGATGCTGTCTGCCAGTTCTGCTGCTGACCCTGCCTGACGTCTGACCCCTGGCTGCCTTTCCCTGCCTGGAGGAAGGGCCCTGGGGTCTGTCCAGATCGGGCGCTTTGCTCTGGGGATGGGCCTCCCTCCACCTGACCTGGAGATAGTGGACCGTTATGAGGGGTTGTCAGTCTGCCAGCAGCATTCCCCGGCTCTTTCTGTCACTCGGAAGAAGGAGCAGACTGTACTGAGTCTGAATGGGTTGCTGCCTATTCTTCAGAAGAGAATGGCTCTGGAAGGCAGGCGGTCCTGCTCACCGCTGACTGGGTGACCCCTTGCTGAGGCTCCACCGCTGGCTTCAATATCCCTATTGTGTACTGAGTTAAAGTGCAAAGAACAGCAAGTCTCCGCATTAGATTTAAGAGAATGTTTTTCTTCTCATTCCGAGGAAAGAGCCCCAGTGTTTCCCTCTGAACGGGAGCGCACACAGGATGGAAGTTGGTTCACCAACTCCTTGCATCACATTTCACAGGATAGACCTTTGAAAGAGAGAGTCAGTCATTTCTTGTGGTAACTTAAGCTTCAAAAGAACTGGGACCCCAGCATAACTTGTCTTGGGCCCACTGAATGAATTAATGAATCTTAGACTGTATCCCTTGATCCAAGATTCTGTCAAGACCAGTGCCTCTATGACAAGTTTCCTTGACACAGGAAAGAAAAAGGGCGTGGCTTTGAGGGGTATAAATGGGACAAGGGCTTGGATTTCCACGTCCTTGCCCCCAGCTCTCTGTTCTTTATCATAAAACTATTACCAGCTAAGAGGCGTTGAGTACCCAGCACTTCCTAGACTGTCCTGGTATGTGTTGTGTTTCTTATTCTGCTTACCAGAGTCTTTCTGGAATCGGTGTAGTAGTTTTTCGTAAACCAAATTAAAAAAAAATTATGTTTGTTGTTTTGAGTAGGTCAGAAACCTGGTACGACGTTTGGAAAGAGTCACCCCATGCGTTGCCGTCCCTGGTACCCCTGCTCCCCTCAGGCGGCCAGTTCAGAGCCTGATTCTAGTAGGAATGTAGGTGGACCTCCTGGTTCCAGATCCCTTAAGTTTTCCCCTTTCTGAGTCTGTCGGCTCCACCATCAAGATTATCACATGCTGTCTGCTTCCCCTTGTGAAGCACAGACCTGGGGGTTCCCACCCACCCAAGTTCCTGGCCCAGCTCTGTCACTAAGCTTGTTTAGTGACTTAAGGCCAGGTCTTCAACCTGGCTGACCCCAGTTTCCCTCACCTGAAAGCAGGATAATGACCTCACTCCCTGGTGCCAAAGAGGATTGCATGGAGCAGCAAGTAGAGCAGAGCGCCAGGAGGGAGCTCCCAGACGGAGGGGACCTTATCTCATTCACTTCATCTTCCAGGCTGAGTTTTCCAGAAGTGGCCGCCAGGGCAGAGCCTGATGTGCAGGATATTTATTAGGGAGGCTTCCCCGGGTGGCTCAGAAGACTGTAAAGAATGTGCCTACAATGCAGGAGACCCGGGTTCAATCCATGGGTCAGGAAGATCCTCTGGAGAAGGGAATGGCAACCCACTCTAGTATTCTTGCCTGGAGAATCCCCTGGACAGAGGAGCCTGGCGGGCTACAGTCCATGGGGTGTCAGACATGACGGAGCAACTAACACTTTGACTTTTCAGCACATGTGGAGGAAGGAAGGGGAGTTGAAGGGCACTGCAGGCTGGGCAGAGCCTCTGCTCATCCCACAGGGGCTCGGAGCAGATACGACCCATCAGAGCTGTCCCCCAGGGGTTGTGGCCGCACCTTGACACCCCTGCTAGGAGCTCTTATCCTGCGTGGGTTGCCCAGGAAGGGCTTGCTTGAGCGTGGGGCGACTCCCAGCTAGGGCAGAACCTGGAGCTGCCGGCCAGAGGCTGGCAGGGGTTGAGCAGGCACTAAGAGGGCCCCCTGGAAGAGGCTTGGGGTGGCTCACCTCCATGTCCTTGTGTTTCCCATCTCACCAGCCCCCAGACCATCAGGGAAGAACAGACACTTAGTAGAACCTTTCGAAGGGATGAAGTGTGCAGTTCTGGATTTGGGGTGTAGTTCAGATGGGGAAAATTTGGCACATAGGTGGCCTTTAGTTCTTAACCAATGTGGAGCTGGAAAAGCAGAAAGCAAGCCTCCTGACTTGGTTGGTTTTGCCCTCACAGGTAGCCCGGTGTTGCTTTTGCTTCGGCTCTGGGGGAGAGGGTAAGTGGACAACATTCCATCTGGGCCTCCGTGATGCCCTGCAGACCTGTACCATTCGTCTGTAGGCGTTTGGGATTTAGGCACAAATAACTTGAGTGGTAAGAGGAATTCCTTTATTCCAGAGCTGGTTTATTGTTTATATACTTTACACGTTGCTCCCAAAGGGCCTTTGGGATTTGTGTTGGTATTCTGGCAGATGAGGAAAAGTTGATATTTTTGGCTCGTATTTATAAGTTAAATTACACAGGACATTTTTGAGGAGCAAGAAGTTATATTTTTTTAAAGGAATGCAAATTTGGAAAATTTCTTTCATTCAGCTTACTCTTGAATTGGAGCATTCCAGGGGCTTGAGAACTCTTGCTCTGCTGTTACTTTCTTCTGAGTTTATAATAAGTTTTCTGTGTTTAAGAGCTCTCTTTGGTTAAAATAAATGCGCCAGTAGGTAACTCATCCTATTACAGAAGGTTCTGGGGTGAGGTGGGAGCTTGGGGCTTATGGCATAGATGAGATTGCCTGAGGGTACAATTGGTGTTTGACAGCTTTCCTTCTCAACAGCCTCTGGGTTGGAAATTAGCAAGTTTGGCTTTGCGAAAGTGGTAAGCATTCTTGTGTTCGCTCATGGAGCTTGTGCTCACTTTATGGTTCACAGACGCTGAAGAGAAGCGGAATATGAAAGAGGGCCCACGGGTCATTTATGATGAGAAGAAAAGCACCGTCTACAGCTATGCCTATTTCCACTTCATGTTCTTCTTGGCTTCCCTCTATGTGATGATGACCGTCACCAACTGGTTCAAGTGAGTGGTCCCTCGTCTTAGATGCTTTAGAAGTTGTTTTTTAAAAACATCCTCTTCTTGACAGCCTGGAAATCAGATCTCTCGAAGTCAGTTAACCTCTTCTCCAAGACCTGCTGCACTCGTCTCCCCAGAAACAGTCCGAGTTCCTGACAGTCTTTTGGCATACTTTGAACCCTGGAAATTGGTGATGCTTACTGCAGCCTTAAGAAAATAGGAGGTTAATAGCATATGGGCAGTCTATAGGACATAGTAACAGTAATGGAGGAAGAACTTAGAATTACTCTTTTTTTCTACTTTGTCTTTTTTTTTTTTTTTTTTAACTTTCATTACAAAAGTTTGAAACATCTCAAAAAAAAAAAAAAACCGACTAATATGTAAGTATGAAAAGTAGCATGGGCCCTCCACCCCAACTCCATAACCACTGCTAATCATATGATGTATTTCCTTTTATTTCTTTTTTGTGCATTTATAAGCCTATATAATTGTTTAAAACATAAATATGATTACACATATTTTCTCCCTTGAGGGTTGGGTTTTTTTTTTTTTAACATAATGTGTCTGACTTTCCTGTTACTACGTGAAGATTCTTTTTGATTCCTTTTGTATCTTTCTTTGATCCAGAGTTTCTGTTGGATCGTAATTTGGTGTACATTAGGATATACCTAAGGTAGACATTAGAATAACTTAGGATATATTTGGGCTTCCCTGATAGCTCAGTTGGTAAAGAATCTGCCTGCAATGCAGGAGGCCCCAGTTCGATTCCTGGGTTGGGAAGATCCACTGGAGAAGGGATAGGCTACCCACTCCAGTATTATTGGGCTTCCCTTGTGGCTCAGCTGGTAAAGAATCTGCCTGCAATGTGGGAGACCTGGGTTTGATCCCTGGGTTGGAAAGACCCCCTGAAGAAGGGAAAGGCTACCCACTCCAGTATTCTGGCCTGGAGAATTTATTTAGACTCATTGTGCAACAAACATATGAGTGGCTTCTCCGGGCCGCACTGCTGTGGGTGGCGGGGCCTGTATTCTAATGGGGGAGGAGGATAGTGGTCCACATAGTATGTCAGACATTGACTACTGGAGAAAAAAAATGAGGACAAAGAACAAGGAGTGGGGCGGGGATGGTGGGGGCAGAGGTTGTGAACAGAGGGACGGGGAAGGCTTCCCTGAGGAGATCTTCCCAGACATCCTGAGGGAGAAGAGGGTACTGGAGCCTCTCGTGCTTCCCAGAGATACTTGGGAATTCCTGGAACATTTTGGCTTGGGAAGCTTAAGAAAGGTTGGAGGCAGAAAATAACATATCAAGAATGTGTTAAAACTGGAGCCCTCTCTCACTCCTGGTAGGTAAAAATGGTGCAGGCACTTTGGAAAATAGTTCCTCAAAGTGTTGAACACAGAGTTGTTACATGATCCTGCAATTGTACTCCTAATTATATAGTCAAGAGGAGGAAAAAACACGTCCGTGCAAAAGCTTATACACAAATGTTCATGGCAGCATCGTTCATAATAGCTAAGTGGAAGCAACCAAATGCCCATCAGCTGACAAATGGATAAACAAAAGGTGCTATATCCACACAATGGAATATTCCTCCACAACAGAAAGGAATAAAGTACTGTTACATACTACAGCATGGACACACCCCAAAAGAAATATGCTGAGAAAAGCCAGTCACAGGAGGCCACTCGATTCCATGCCTCGTGACATGTCCAGAACGGGCAAAGCCATACAGATAGAAAGTAATTAAGTCATGCCAGGGGCCACATGGAGGAGGAAATGGGAGGGCAACTGAAGGGCGCAGGGTTTCTTTCTGGGGTGATGAGCATGTTCTAGAATTGACTGTGGTGGTGGTCCCCCACGTCTATGAATATAATAAAAATCGTGTACTTTAAGCGGGTGTGAATTATATTAATATCTGAATTGAGTTGCTAGGGAAAAAAGAAAGGCTGGTGGGGGCTGCGGGGTGGGAGCAGGGAGGGACACTCCTGGTGGGAAGAGACCTTTTCACCTCCTGTCCTCTTCCTGCTCTGACCACAGCTGGGTCTCTTGTTTCTACAGCTACGAAAGTGCCAACATCGAGACCTTCTTCAGTGGGAGCTGGTCCATCTTTTGGGTTAAGATGGCTTCCTGCTGGATATGCGTTCTCCTGTACCTGGGTACGCTGGTCGCCCCACTCTGTCGACCCTCTCCGCAGTACTCCGTGTGAGGATATGAGCAATCTCCTTGGTTCTGCAGCGGGAAGTGATGCCCTTGAACAAATATCCCAGGAGTCAGGCAGTGACTGGTACTTTGTGACAAGTTGGCATTCCCCTGGCTGGCTTCAGTGGGTCTGAAAACCCTTCAGGGGGGGAAAAAAAAAATCACTTGATTTGCTTTTTTTAATTCTGAAATTCAAAAAGAAGCTACCAGTTTGCCCCCAAAGAGTTCAAAATTTCACCTAAATTGATGCTGAGTGTGTATAGATTCTCTATGTGTTTTACCCCTAAATATTGGGACAGTGGTCAGGCTAGTATTTTCCTTCTGCGTGTTTTCTACCAAAACAGAGTTTGGGGAATGACGTCTTATCACAGGGATAAAAGCTTACTTTGTGTGGCCTATTACCTGTCCCTGAAATAGACATGACAAAATCTGGAGCCCTTCGCCTCCAACAGAAGGCAGACCCCCAGAAGGCTCCACAGCTCAGCCTGCAGAACTCCTGCTCACGGTCCCCGGGTATTTATTGGCTCCAAGAGGAAGCATCGGCTTTTCACTCCAGCCCTGTGCTGTCTCCTCCCAGCCCTGACACGTTTCCCTTTGAAGTTGTGATGCTGGGAATCACAGGCTTCGCTCTGCCCTTCCCAGAGGTGCCCTCATCCCTTCGGGTTCAGCATCTTCCTTATAATGTGAAAAAGCACAATTTGCCATCACCGCCCATGTGGTTCCCCCTCCAGACTGTCACCGCCTGATCTGAGTCACGGCCTTAGTAACTTGTTTTGTAGCTCAGGTCAGGCGGTGATGGGAGTAATTCGACCCTTACTCATGGTATTGTTCACGTGATGATAGAACAATGTTCGTGTTGTTTTCTTTGCTGTAGTTCTTGTTTGTGGATTGATAGTCATGACACTTTAGGACCTAACCTGGGAAGTTGCTTCTTGACTGAAGCCTGCTGCACCCCTCTTTTCATTACTGAGGTCAACCAGTTTCTCTTCCACTCGAGGCCTTTGAAATTGTGAAAGCAAAAGGGCGTTTGTTTTCCGGATCTGTAATGTGACCACACCATTAATGTCCCTTATGATTTTGGGGGTCGATTTGCTGAGGTGAGAATCATAGGCAGCACCTCAAACAGGGCTGACCAGGTAAGGCCTCCAATTATACAAGTTGTAGAAGTGACCAGATATACTTAGAAGAAACGGTGGGTGGGGTGAGCAAAAGCCACAGAAATTTCCAAAGTTCATACTCCTAAGGTGACACTTAAGAGGGATTGAGTCTAGGCAGCTGCGTAAGAAGATCTCCGTTTTCAGTGTTGATACTCTCGTCCAGGGAGGACTTTACACAGTGGAAAGTCCACCGGAGACCCCGGTGGAGACACAGTGGGGGCCCGCCTCTTAGTATTTTATGTAGGATGGAAAGAGTCCTCCTGGCACCTGGGCAGAGAGTCAGAATGAAAAGATTCGGCCTTTACTTTCTGTGCCCTGCTGTGTGCGTTGGGTCCCCCATAAGCTGGGCTCCGGGGTGCCAAATGCTGACCTGGGAAATTAGTCCCACCCTTCATTTCCACTCACTCCTTCTCCCTCCTCTCAAGAAAATGGGGGAGCTGGGTGGAGGCAAGGGGCATCCAGTGGATGAATTCCTCCAGAAACTTGCCTTAGTTACAGTCGGAGATTCACTTTTTAAAGGCACTCGTGTGTGTGTGAGAGAGCCTTGTTTTGTACACTCGATCAAGTTCTTTTCTTCCCCCCCAAGATCGGGAACTCTTCATACTCGGCCCAGCGATCTTCCGTAGGCACAAAAGGCGTGGTTGCCACGCGTGGCCCACAGTGACGCCCGTGGGGTGGGAGCTCCATGGTCAGACAGCTGGCGGCAGTGGGCTGTGCGGCTCAGCACCCTGGCAGGGGCCCCTGCAGTGGCTGGTGCAGTGACAGGCTCGGGTAAGCGAGATGGCTTTACAAGGATCAAGAGGACAGGCAGGTCAAGAGCTGGTGTGCTGTCAGTGGCTGGTTTTGTTGGGTTTTCTTCCTGCTAGGGTCTAGCATCCAACTCTGTGGCTTTGAGCTGGGCCTTCCTGTGCAGAAAAAAGCTCGGGGAGACACAGAGGAAAGGACATCGCCAGTGGCCAGGCTTCCTTCCTTAGCCCCCCTCCCCCGCAGCCAACCCATACTTTCCAGCTGCTTCAGACTTGGTTCGTGCCTGATAATGTTCCTTTCTGAAGGTCGGTCTGACACAGGAAGAGTTACAGTCACTCTCTTATTCTCAATTGAACATGTAAGCAGTTTTATCCGAATGATCAAGAGCGATGTGGACGTTCTCTGAGGACTAAGGGTGTATAAATAAGATGTTGACTTTAATGATTATAATTGTAGAAAACAATCCTCAGGTGGTAAGTCAACATCCATGGCTTTAAAGAGTCTATGTTTCTGTGCTATTATGTTTTACGAAACTGGAAACACAGTGCCAATTGCTTTGCGTAGCTGTTAAGGATGATGTTCATTTGATAAATTCACTGGTAATGTTTTCAGAACAATAGACTTTGCTTCCTACAACTTTTTATACATGATTTTAAAAGTGCATTCTCAGAAGCTGCTGGTCAGATTCCTTTAGCAATGAGAGCTGAAGATTTTTTAAAACTATGTGTAAGCTTCCTCAGTGCTGTTCATCCGATGTGGAAATTTTTTCACTTCTCATTTTCACGAGTAAATACACATAAATAGAGGAAGGGATTCTTTTGGGAATGTGGCTGTTTATGTCTAGATGTGTCACCTGATTGAAGACCAGAGACTCTCTCACCAAAGGCTTTCGGAAACCCTACTTGGTCCTTACTGGGTTGATTTTTGTTTTTTTCTTTTTTGTTTTTAATACTGGTTAGTTAATTTTGTTTTTGTCCTCACAATTTCTTGGGAAATGGCTTGAAAGAATTGTTTGCCAGAAGTCTTTGGAGCTCCTTTGTAGAGTAGATGGGCTGTGTGCATGCGGGCTGATGGAAGATACTGGGGCTTTGGGATTCTGGTGGCCAGCAAGGGTGCTCCCACACCCCTTTGTTTATTTCCAGTTGCTCAGAGATGCCTTCACTATGGTTGACCTCTGTGCAGTGCTAATTCCCCTCACATTGTCTCCTTCTGCCTTTTTAAGATTATTTGCTTATTTATAATAATTTTGGCCAGAAGTTTACTACCATTGGTGCTTCCTGTTACCCTGCAATGGGAATTCCAGAGCCTGTATGCATTTAAGCTGCCTAGGTCTTTTTCTCCTTTGATTGCCTTTCTAAAGAGCATCTCATTTCGGCGTACTACCCCTCTTGAAAATTAAAGGGGGTTTTAGATATAACTAAGAAGGATGTGATCTTGGGCCAAGATCCACATGTCCAGAGAGCACCCTGGGCTCTCCTTCATTGAGGACAGTGCCGATACCCCTGGGTTCATGACGTTCTCTATAGGGTATTCTCCTTGATTTACTAAATCCCTCTGGCTTCTTTCTTAACTGTGTTTCCCGCCATCCTTAATATATTTGTAAAGCCTCAGACATTTTAATCCAGTTTTGTATTTTAGGCAGAGATGTGCTCTCTAATATACTTGCTTAGCAGGATACAGATCTTTTGAATTAATGCTAACCATTCTAAAGATTTCTCTCTGTCTCTCTTTTCTCCCTTCCTCAGTAAATCATTTACAGAAGTGTTCATTTTGAGAGGATGAAGTATTTGGCTTTTACCAAAGAGGTTTTCTTTTTTTAAAAGCAAAATCCTTTCAGCAAAAACTTAACTTGGGGAATGGTGGATTAAGAATGCACATGTCCACATCCACTTCCGTAGGTGTTAATCATGTTTATGTGAGTAAAATGTTGGAAAGAACTCTTTAAGGTAATCCTTTGTGGTGAAGGATCCTGGGAAATTCTCTCAGGTAAAGAAAGCTTGCAGCAGATGGGTAATATATGTCTTGAGAGCTATTTATAAGAAATTTAAGGATTGTTTTTTTTTTCCTTTATTAAAGATTTAAGGTTATTTTACTTTGAAAAAAAAAACTACAAAAGTTTTATAATCATAACTTTGTTACTTTTTAAAACAAAACTTGTCTGAAATAATTAGATACAGCCAAATTATGTGGTTATGTTTTGCTGTTAGAATTTTAAAATGTAGTATGTGTGGTAATCTACTGTTTGAAATTTATAATGGTCTCAGATATGTTTGAGTTTTGGTAACTTTTAAAACTAGTTATTTTTTTGTTTTAAGTCACAAAGGCACCTATGGATTTATAATTGGGGTTTTTTTGAGTGCTAATTTTTCTATGAAGCAGCCGAAGTTGACCAGTCTTTTCCTAGGTAGAAAACTCAAAACTTGTTAACTCTGTACTTTAATAAAATTAAAAATTGAAAACTGTGGGGTTTTTTTTTCTTCTTCTTTCTGTTGAATATATTTATAAATGAAGTCTGCCACGTACCATCTTCCAAAGATGTCTTCAAATGTTAATTCAACCTCTCTCAAGTTTCACAGAGTCTGTTCTGCTTCTAGAAGTTACAAACAGGAAAACCCAAGTTTTTTGCCTTCTTCCTTGCTGAAAGCCTCTACAGCCTGCTTTCTTTCTTTTTTTCTTTTTTTAACTTACTTTGCTCTGAAAGGTCTTCACTGCAGCGCTCAGAATCTTTAGTCATGGCATGCAACTCTTAGTTGCTGAACCAAGGATCAAAGCTGGGCCTCCTGCATTGGAGTATGCTATGTAAAAATACTCATATTTTGGCAGAAGCCCTCTTATCTAACTAACTGAGATTAGGAGACTCTTAAGAGTCTTAGAAATCTTCTGTTTAGCCAGAGGATTTGGCACTTCCTTAAGTCTTTGAGATCTTAATAAGAGGCTTTATCTTGACCTTGAGGCTACATTTTTACTTGTGGCATCTTAGAAATGATAAGTAGTTAATAAAACAGTGTGGTTGGAAGGATATTTCATTGAGTGTGTTTCAGTGTGTTGTTAAATGAAAAAGATTGTTCAGTGTGATCCAAATCCTGCATGTATGAACTCTTTTAAAAAAAAATTAATTCTGGTGCTTGTTAAAACAGTAAGACTTAGGAATTTCCTGGTGGTCTAGTGGTTAGGACTCAGCATGTTCACTGGGCGGGGAGGTGGCGGGACTTGGGGCAGTGAGGGCGGAGAAATCAACTCAATACAAGGATAAGTGGGGATTGACAGCCAACAAGCAGAGAGGTGAGATGGTTGGATGGTATGACTGACTGATTGGACATGAGTTTGAGCAAGCTCTGGGAGACAGTGAAGGACAGGGTATCCTGGCATGCTGCGATCCATGGGGTTTCAAAGAGTTAGACATGACTGAGCGACTGAACAACAAGAAAGCAGAGGGAGGGGATCCAGTGGATGGAAAATAAAAGAGGAAACCTCGGGTAGAGAGATTCTTTCTCAAGGTAAACAGGCCAAGTGTAGGCAGACAGGGTAGCGGCCCCCATAGAAAGAACCAGACAGAACTTTAGTAACAGAAGCTGTTTAAGGCCTGAGCTATTTTGTGGTCTGAGCCTGGCCACAGTGCGTGCCCTTGCAGAGGGATAGGTCTCAGTAGCTAATGATATTAAAGGAACAGAAGGAGGTAAGAACTAGTAACTGCCAGGACAAGGAGATAACCTAACTTCATCAAAGACTGTTGTCAGTTGTAAGGACTCCCATTTCTGTTTCAAAAGTCAAGATTAATCCAAAGCACATTCTTGAGTTATTTTGCAGAATTCAACTCCACAGGAGTCCTCAACCATCAGATT